ATATGACACTCGCACAAAAACACACACAAAGATGAGTGGAACAGAACAAAGAGCCCAGAAATAAACCCACAGTTATATGGTCAGTTAATCTATGACAAAGAAGGGAAGAATTTGCAATGGGAAGAAATGTCTTCAATAAATGGTGCTGGGAAAACTGGAAGCTACATGGGAAAGGATGAAACTGGGCCACTTTCTTATACTACACACAAAAATAAACTCAGAATGGATTAAAGACCTAAATGTAAAACTTGAAACATAAAACTCTTTTCAAAGAAAACACAGGCAGTAAGCTCTAGGACATCAGCCTTGCCAATATTTTTCAGGAGTTGTCTTTGCAGAAAAGGGAAACATAAGCAAAAATAAACAAGGGGGACCACTTCCAGCCGAGGGGCTCCTGCACAGCAAAGGCAGACAGCAAAAGTGAGTGGGTGACCTACCGGGTGGGCGGAGGCATCTGCAAATGATGTATCGATAAGGGGTCAAGATACAAGATATATAAAGGGCTCCTACAACTGTCATATCATGTTGATTACATACAAAAAGCAGATTATCTGATTCAAAAATGAGCAGAAGATCTTACTAGACATTTTCCCAAAGAAGACGAACAGATGGCCAACAGACACCTGAAAAGATGCTCTGCGTCGCTGATTTTATCAGGGAAATGCAATTCAAAACCACAATGGGATATCACCTCACACCAGTCAGAATGTCTAGTATCAAAGAGACAAATAATAAGCATTGGAGAGGATGTGGAGAGAAAAGGTAACTGCTGTTGATGGGGATGGAAATTGGTGCAGCCACTATGGATAACAGCATGGAGATTCCTCAAAAAATAAAAGTAGAAATACCATACGATCAAGCAATTCCACTTCTGGGTATTTGCCTGAAGAAAATGAAAACTGCAATTTGAAAACATGTAAGCACCCTTCTGTTTATTGCTGCATTAACAACAGCCAAGATATGGAAGCAGCCCATCGATAGATGACTGGATATGGAGGAAGTGGCACCTGTACACACTGGAATATTACTCACCCGTAACAGAATGACATCCTGCCATTTGTGGCAGCGTGGATGGACCTAGAGTGCCATCTATGCTGAGTGACGGAAGTCAGGGAAAGACAAGTACCAGATTATTTCACTTATCTGTGGAATCTACAATGTCAGATAAATGAACAAATAAATGAAAACTGGAAATAGACTAAAAAATACAGAAAACAAAAAGCTGGTTATTGCTAGACAGGAAGGGGGTGGGGAGATAGGTGGAAATGAGGGAAGGGAATAAAGAGTTTCACACTTCCAATTATAAAATAAATAAGTCACAGGACAAAAGTACAGCATAGGGAATATTGTCAATAATACTGTAATGACTTTGTATGGTGACAGATGGTAGCTACACTTAACTGTGGCGAGGCTTTTGCGATGTATATAACCGTTGAGTCACTATTATATACCTGAAACTAATAAAATATTGTATACTTCCTATACAATAACAAAAAGATTTAGGTGGATGAAGCTTTAGTAATAATAGTAAATAATAAGAAGGCAGGGACCCGCCACCTCCCACTAAGCCCACCCAAACCAACAGACTGACCTAACGGTGTTCAGTCCAGGAGAAGCACCCGGCGATGACCTGGAGCCCCTCGCAGCCAGGCGGCACCAGCAGGGGCTGGAATGACTGCTGGGGGGAGGCTGGGCTCCTGCAGCCGCAGTGCATGTGGTTTCAGGAGGGAGGCCAGACCATCCTCTGGGCGGTCCAGGCAGCTGGGCTCACTGCCCGTCAGCAGGGTGACTTCTGGAGAGGACCTAACGATTAACTTTTGTTTTGCACATGCATTCAAGTTGTCTTATTCAAATAAGGGCAGTCATTTCTGAAGAAACAGAAGCCTGTGTCTGGAGGCGAGGATGGAATGGCAGAGGCTGGGGTCATGCCCAGATTTCTGTAGCAGAAAGGCACAGGCGGGGAGGTGGTCCGGCTCGGCCATTTCAGATGCATTCCCTGGGGCCCCTGTTTGACAGGAGCGCTGGGGTGAGGCCGGAGGCTGGCCTGAGGGTGGGCAGGGGGGACTGTGTCCTGGGCCCTGCTAGAGCATTCACTGGAGACCGTCCACGCAGGAAAGGTGCCGTCTACAATTTCTGTGTGTGTGGTTATAACAGATGCGCTCTTTTGACATTTGCTTATGCAGGGCTTTGTTTGAAAACCTTAGAAATCACTGAGTTAATTTAGTTCTCTCTTTATGCAGAGCAGCTGCAGATGGAAAGAGTCTCAGTAGAGCACCCTGCAGGCTGCCCAGCGAGGGGGTGACAGACACCATGTTCTCAGCGCTAGTCCAGGCTTTTATTTATTTGGCTTAAACCAGGCAGGCTCACTGGAGGCTGGACATGGTGCTCCCTAGGAGGTGCCCCTTGGCCTGGCTGTAGGAAGACAGCTGGAGGGGTGGCCGTGGGCTTCTGCTGGAGCCCTGTCCTCCTGCGCCTGCTCCTTGGCTGGGGTACGTGGTGCAGGGCTCTGCCTTTCAAGACCTTTTCTAACTACAGAGGCTTGTCTTTTCCCTAAACTTTTCCTTAGTCAAAATAGGTCCTGGATCTGTCTTTTTGGACTTTCAGCCTTTGTTTCCAACCCTCGAAATATCTGTGCCTTCCCATGTGGTCCTAAAACTGGCATCGGTATCGGCTTGTTTGCAAAGCACAGTACATTTTACAAATGGATTTTACAGGGATGACCCCTACTGAGGTTACAAGTAGCTCCTTGAAGAAAATCATTACATCTGTAACACAAAGGTTGGCGGCCATGGCTGCTTGTCTGACTTGACTCCCCGGAGGCGCAGCCGGCGGATGCCTCCCTCCTGCAGAATGTGCTGCTCCCACTGGTCCCTTGCTCTGCGAATGCCTGCCCCCGCCACCACCCGTCTCGTCTGCTCTGTGCCGGGGGCCGGTGCAGATGTGTGGGCGCAGCAGAGAAAGAGGCTTGTGCGCGCAGATCTAAAGACCAGGGGGTCGGTCTTCAAATCTCCAGTGTGGCACCTCCAGCTCACGGACAGGGTGGCTCTGTGAGGTTGGCTGTGTGAGTCTCAGTTAACACTGCCCCCCACACCTCCTCCTAGGAGCACCGGTTTGCGTGCCCACATTTCATGCCCGGGGGCTTCATCAAAGCGGTGCCCTGCTCAGTTCAGGGATGTGGCTGATGTATGCCCCGGACATCTGTGCTGCACCCGCTGGAATCCTCCCTGGGGCCAGCGATGTAAAACAAAGGTTCTCTGCAAGGACCCTGGACTGCGTCACAGAGCAAGTGCGGCAGTGTGGCCGGGCCTCAAAAGGACTGAAGCGAGGCTGGAACCCCCTCTCCCTGTGTCTTGTTCTGTTTGGAGGGTGGCTTTGCCCCTCTGCCTCCCTGAAGCTAGTTTCTGCGTGCAGCACGAAATGTGGTTGCCGAGTGCTGCACCTGCGGCTTCAGTCCCCTAAGAACCCAGCAGTTCCTGGGCCGGGGGCTGTTGACCCACCTTGGGCCTGCACATGGGCGTGCATACACACATGCACACGTGTGCACACACACACATGGGCAAACCGGTGGGGAAGGTCAGGAGGTGCGGTGCTGGGAACATGAAACTAGACTGCTACACTGTGAGTTCATCCTGGACCCCGATGGGCCCGCCCACGAATCGGGGCCCAGACGGGCTTGGCAGGCCCTCAACTTTAGGGCATAACCATGTGCAGAGACCCTGCATGATCCCACACAACACTGTACAGGGGCCGGCTTCTCGGGGTGAGGTGTCCTGCCACCTCCTTTGAGATCTTTTTGGGGCATCTGTGCAAAGACGAAATAATCCTTCCTCGATGACTCTGAGATGCACACATTTAAAAAACATTTTGGCATCTCCCAGATGGGGATGGGCTTTGGGGTCGATGGCCTGCTGAGGTCTTCCCGGCGGGGGGTTTCCAGGCAGCACATAAAACACTGACGTCCTGTGTCAGTCGTGTTTCCATTTCAATGAAATGGGTCAGTTGCAGACGCACATTTCTTTGGAAACAAAGAAAGCAAAGAACAAGGTAGAAAGACCAACCCGGCAGCCAGGGTGGGAGTGCGGCCTGGAGCAGACAGGTGCAGAGCTGTAGGGCAATCAGCCAGATGGACGTGAGCTTGTCTCCAGGGTCCTAACGCCGGGGGACAGGCGTGAGTTGGAGCCCGGCTGATTTGGGCCGGATGTGAAGTCAAGTGCCCTTGTGTGGTTTTACTAAACACCGAAGCCAGCCTCAGAAAGTGGCATGCAGTCCCACTCCACAGTGACGCCCAGGGTGAGGCGGACTCTGTTTTCTGGGTGTCATTGTGAGGGTCTGCCTGAAAGCACAGGGTGGGTGAGTTGATTTCCCGTTACTTTGGAAGTGACTTCGGCTCCAGGTAACTGAAAACACCCATTCAAACTGACTTAAGCAGGAAGATGATTCTTATCACATAAAGGGGAAGTTGGTAGTCAGATTCCACTGGGGCCCCGTGGGATGCTGCCAAGGGCTTTTCTGCCACAGAAAACCTCACCTTCACCTGGAGAGGGTGAACTGCGTGGATCGCCATTGTTCTGGAGTGTTGGACTTTACATAGTTCAACCTACTACTCGGTTAGGAGGAAAACACTATGAATGGGAATGAATGCCAAATGTTTTAAAGTTTCTTGCCTTACAAGGAATCCAGACGAGAAATACTTCTCCCCCAACTGGCCTTCCTAATACCACCGCCTGCCCTCACCCCTCCTCCTCTTTGGGCCCCCTGCTGCCTCACCCTCCCCTGCCCTTCCTCTGCCCTCTCCGTGTCCACTGGACTCTGCTACCCTCTGCCCCCTCTCCCTGCAGTCATGGCACGGCCCGGGCCCTGGGGCCAGTGGCTGGGACCTTGGCCTGGGGACCCCCCTCCCTGATGGCGCCATGGGGCTAGCTCAGCGCCTGCTCCTCCTGGCCTCCCAGTGTCAAGCCCGGTGGCCGGAGAGGTTGCAGATCTGTGCGTGGGGTCCTGACTGACAGACAGCAGGTGGATGAGTGAATCCATCATCTCCTTCTCCTTCCTTAAGACAAGTTTTACTGACGATAGATTCTGAATGCTTTCCTGAAACAGCAAGCAGAGAGAAAAATCTGCCTCGAGAGAGTCCCCTTTATACACATCTAAAACTGAAGTTAGAAGTCCCATAGATCTAATTCTCATCGACCTAAGAATTTAACTGCCTGTTCCGTATATTTCCTACAGAATAGATGCACCAGTTGAAAAATGTCAAAGGACATAAAAATATGTCCAGTGTGCTGTGTATAATCACATCCCCAAAGGCCTCTTCATTTCATCAAGAGGCCCGTCGTGACCGCCTCAGTCAGCTCACATGAGGTGCGGTGGCGTTCTGTGATCCAAGCTGTGCTCAGCCCACCAGGAAGAGTGTGGAATAAATCGACGTATTATTGCCTCCAGAGGGAGAAATGTGCTGATCTGTGGTGCTTGTTGGAAAGTCATCGCTAACGTTTACATGAAGGTATTCACTGAGTTTCTACGTGAGTTTTATCATTTTATCCATAACCCCGTGGTGAGGAGACCGGCATGCAGACGGGTGACACGCTTGCGCGGGGGCGACCCTTCCTGGAGGCACAGGCCATGCCTGGCAGCGTGGTGCCCGGACCCATGTCTGACCGCGGCCGCTGCATCCCCCAGGGGGCGCTGCACCACCTTTCCTACAACCCTTACCTGGTGGTGCAAGATCCCTGGGGCCTGAATATCTGCACTGCCTGCTGCCTTCCGCCTCCCTGATTCATCTCTGGCGAGTCTTCCCTGAGACGGGAATCTCACAGCCATGATGCTTTTTGGCCCGTTACCCTTGCATTTTGCTTAGATTTTAGAAACCAGAGAGGGTGAAACAGCCTTTACTTCCATGACCAGCTCGGTGGTTGCTGGCAGAGTGCCCGTTTGTCCCTGCCTGGTCCTGACGTGAGCTGCAGGAGGTCTTCCCTGGTCAAGCCCCAGGGGACACTTAGCATTATGCCGTCTGCCCTCGTGACTGCAGAGGCTGGGATGTGCTCCGCCACGTTCCCTGGGGAACCTCCCAGAAGACTGGCACCCAGGGCCACGGTGAGGGTGCCTGGGGCAACTGGACGTGCCGTTCACGTACACGTGGGAACAGACAAGTGCACGAACTCGAGCCGTCTCGAAGTGGCTGTTGGGAGAGAAGCACATAAGACCCTGTGCTGTCCCCCCATGGGGTGCAGGCAGCCAGAGGCCCAGAGAGGACAGCGCTCAGACGGGCGCTGGGGCTACGAGGCGGGCTCCTGGAATGCGGGGTTGGCAGGATGGCTCTGGAAGACGCTGAGTCCTGCCAAACCTCTCCGCCGAGTCTGGGGTTGGAAGCCGTGTGGTGTCGGGTGTCCTGTCCCTGCTCAGGGCTGGGGGGCCTGGTTAGGGCTCGGTTAGTCTCGTTCTCAAGCCTGTCCACCCATGTTGCTCATTTAGATTATTTTTTTGGCAGCAGAGAGAGAATACCTGCCCACAAAGTCCGTGTTGGAGATGAGACCTGGACTGTCAGTTGCCTGCTCTGGGCGAGGGGAAGCGTGTTCTGGAGGTGTTTGCAGGGCCCACGGACCCACCACTCTCGGGAGTGTTAGGCTGAGGTCCGGGGTCCCTGGGCTCCTGCCCCTCAGGGTTAACTGGGCCGGGCTGGGCGTCGGGCTCGCTCACGCTGGGGCGGGAGGCGGACCGCTGGGGTGCAGGCCTGCGCCAGCTCCGAGGGCTTTTCTGCCATAGTAACCGGGCCCTTCTAAAGGGCTCACAAGACAGATTTTCTCCTAGATCTGTGCGCTGGGAGAAGCTTAGCTTTTTCTAGGGCCCTGGCACATTCTGCTGCTGCAGTTTATTCTGTAACTGCCTGTATTTTCCTTTTCGCTTATTCACCAGGATGCTGACCGCCAGCTCGCGTTCAGCTTCAGGGTGAGAGGCTAGAGCTTGGACTTCCACCCTCGGAGCGGACTCAGTGCTGGCCTCCCACGATCTCCGAGAACACTCATTTACGATTTCTTCATTTTTGCATGCCAGTAAACTCTGTTAAAACCTCAGTGGAACAAGTTGACAGCAAGTGGCACACATTTAAGAACTCTGCGATCTCTGCTTCAGGCCAGTGGGCGCCAGACTCCCCGGCAGGAGGCCAGGGGCAGAGCACTGGGGTGCAGCCGCTGCGCACAGAGGGGCACGACTATCGCGTGGTGCCGTCAGGAGTCTGAGAGCCGCACCCTGGCGCCCGCTGCCCACGGGGGGTGAACCTTACCCGGACCGCTCGGTTCCTGAGTCGGGAGCCTGCTCCGCCTTCGCCCAGATGGTTATCCGAGTTGGGTGAGATGGGGTGGGATCAGCATGGGACTCAGCGTCGCAGGAGGTGTGTCTTAAATGAGACCTGTTTGCTGGGTACTCAGCAGAGGGCCCGTGACACCAGGGACTAGCCTCCGCAGCCATTATTATTATGCAATCAGATCTCCCAGAAACCATGTGCAAACAGAGGTTTCTGGAATCCTGGGAAAGAGAATGTGGCTTTTGAGCTCACTCACTGGACACTGAGCTTGACGAAGTCAGCCGGCCGGAGGGATACGAGGCTCTCACAATATTGCTTCAGTTCAGCTTTCAGGGTTATCAGTGAGGCCCTCCTGGTGACATGCGTGTGGCTTAAACCCGAGACTGTAAACCCTACAGGAATTTGGTTCCCTTCACGCGTCAAGATGACTGTACCTTGAGAAATGTTTTCAACATAACGTTAATTCTGACCTTTACATAGAGTGTGACAAAAGTGTGCTTTTATAATGGATATTCATGCACGACATACTTTCCACTGTCACCTTATCAGACTTCCTGGCTGTGCAGCTGTTCAGGTGTTTAAAATAAGCCATCACTTATTTTTATGTGCTTGGCAGGGACATTTTATGGGGATTGAATGGAATTTCCTCTTCTTTTCCCGTACCGCAGCCTCTAGGGCACAGGCCAGGGGAGAGCGTGGGGTCCTGCCCCCCGGGTCTCACTGCCTGTGACGGGTCGACCTCCCACCCAGAAGGACTTCCGCCGGGGACTTGGCCACGCTTCCCCATGTCCTCTGATTTAAGATCCTTTCTGTAACGTATTTAAGAAACAGGGTAAAGATTCATGTAGGAATGCCGCTGGGTCCCTGGCCTCCCTCATCAGTTGGGAACATTTTCCCTCCTGAACCTCACCCATGTCATTCAGACCAAGGAGTCCCCCCAGAAGCTGGCACTGCAGAAAAACATTTTTTTTAAAGATGAATCAAATAGAGTTTAAGAAAAATTGAGGTAAAATTTGTACAACACAAAATGTATCATTTTAACCGTTTTCAAGGGTACAACCCAGTGGCTTCTAGTACATTCACAGTGTTGTGCAGCCATCACCACGAGTGGCTGAATTCAGAACATTTCATCCCTGCAGAAGAAGCCCCATGCCTGTGGAGCATCCCTCTGTGCCCTACGCGCATCCGCCCGCCCGCCTCCCACCATGCCCGTCGGGCGTTCCTCCTGTCCTGCCTCCCTTCACTGCCCAGCAACTACTCATGTGCTTTCGTCCCTGCGCACTTGCGTATTCTGGGTATTTCGTATAAATGGACTCATACGACACTCGGCTTTCTGTGTCTGGCTTCTCCACTGAGCACGTGTTCACAGCTCACCCTCGCTGTAGCATGTACCAGCCACTCACTCTTTTTCATGGCTGAATAATATTCCATTGAACAGATATACCTCTGTTGTGTGTCCATTCATCCCTGATGGACATTTGGGTTGTTTCCACTTTTTGGCTGTGGTGAGTAATGCTGCTGTGAACATTTGTGGACACGTTTTTCTTTGACCCTCCGCAGAATCCTTGCTGCAAATTAACTATTGGGTCTTATTTGGAAGAGTTGATGACGCTCCTGTTGGTGATTGCCTGTTATTAAAACTTTGCTTCATTGATTGGCTGTTCTGGGATTTGTTTCTCCTCAGAGAAGGTTGCATTTTGTTAGATGCAACAGCGATCACGTGAAGGTGTCCTTGAAGGGGATAATACGCAGCGTCCCCCCCCCCACGCCCGGAAGCCTGCCCAAGTCCTGTCTCCTCTCCTCCCCCCTCCCCCTCCCTCCACGTTTTTCAAGGATTCTCTGAAGATACCTTCTGCGCTCTCCTGCTACTGCCCTTTATTTCTTCTAGACCGTCTCCTGTTCTCTTATTTGATCTGATGTCTTGGGCGTTGAATCAAGGATGTCAGGTCCTCGTCTGAGAACTCGTTTTTAGCAATCATGGATTCCTGAAACCGAGAATGGGCCAAAACACGGGGAACAGACCTCGCGGCCTCATGCCAGGTCGCCCTGTGTGGGTCTGGGCTCCTGTGGGCCATGTTCGTTCTCCCCGAAGTGGGGTCAGGCTGATGGGGCTTCGAGTTGCGTGGCTGGGAGCGTGTGTGTTGGGAGGGCAGAGGAAGACGTGGACGCCCTGCCACCATCCCTCCAGTGGTGGCTTCACCATCCCCCAACCCTGGCCCCCAGCTCAGCGCATGGCCTCTCCCGGAAAAGGGTGAGCAGGACCATGGGGAGAATAAACAGTACGGCACACGAGCCTTCGCCGGGGTCTGGGGTGAACACACATGGGAGTGTCTTTGCTCTCCATTGTGGCGTGGGGCGGAGGCAGATGAGGATGCGCGTCGGAGGCCCTGCACACCATGCACCTCTGGGCCAGGCCCTGCGTCCTTGTGGGAGACGAATGCCCCTTGCCACTTACCCACTGGGGCCACTCCCTCCCCAGTACAGGTGCTCACTGGGGGCCCCTCCCTCCTCTGTACAGGTGGTCACTGGGGCCCCTCCCTCCCCTGTACAGGTGGTCACTGGGGCCCCTCCCCCCTCTGTACAGGTGGTCACTGGGGCCCCTCCCTCCCCTGTACAGGTGCTCACTGGGGCCCTCCCTCCCCTGTACAGGTGGTCACTGGGGCACTCCCCCCTCTGTACAGGTGCTCACTTGGGGGGCTCTCTCCTCTGCAGATGGTCATTCTCCATTATCATTGTGTATTAGTCATCAGTGTTTCTCTCTTCTTCTCAGGACCCTGTATGGTGGGTCTGGGGGTGGGGACAGAGCAAAGCCAGTGTGGGGAGGAACCTGACTTCCACTCGGCCTGCAGCCTCGGTCACCTCCAGCCCGGGGCTCTGCCCTCAGGTGCTCGGGCCTCGTGCCCCCCACACCTGCCCCCTGGCCCTGGGACGCACTCTCTCAAAGCCGGAGTGACCCACTTCCAGGCCCACGTCAAGAAACGTGAAGTGATGAAAGGAGTGTCCCCCAACGGGAGCACTCGCTCCATGAACACAAACTGGAGGTTTAAATCGCATTTAGGTGCTGGCCATACCCGATGAAGGGTCTGTACTGATGAGAAAGAGGATACATGTGATAACTGGAGATGTGACTAATAACCAGAGGTCAGACTGTGGTGGACTATGAGGTCTGGCCAAGCTTCCAGGGCAGGAAATGGGGACACATGCAGTGTGACAAGGGGGCAAGGCTGAGGAGGGGACACTTGTCTGCTGGAGGGTGGCCTCTGTGATCCACGCTCAGGGTCCCCTCTGATCCCTCCCGCAGGGTGGGAAGGTCTCTGCTTCTGCAGCCCCCCTATGGGCCCAGGTGACTGTGCTGGGAGGAGACCCCCAGGCGGGGGCAGGCTCCCTGCAGCCCCGTGTGTGAGCGAGAGGGGGTGTGCCGGCAGCCGGAGTGCAGGAGGTGGGGGCCGGGGGCCACTGCGGATCACCGCGAGGCCTTCCCAGAGATGCTCACGCAGCCCGGTGCCCAAAGACTCAGCCCCACAGCCTCGCCCTGCTTGCGCTGAAGGGATGGCCAGGGGGCAGGGGACGCTGCCCTAGCAGGGGCGGGATGGCCAGAGGTGGTGTGTTGCTCCCCGTGGGCTTTCCGGCCTTCGGGCTGATGAACATCCCCTGGTCGTGGTGAACCGGCCTCGTCTTCTCCCCAACGAGCAGGTTCCGAACTGTCCCCACTGGTGATACGCGGCTGCCACGTGAATCCTGAGCAGCATGCCGGCCACGGGCTGGAGTCAGCCATCCTTTCCACCCCACCTGAGCACGGCCTTCATTCCCCTTTCTGGCCCTTCTTCTCACCCGCAGACCCCCCCTGGACTCTGCCCTCCCGTGGGCACCTCACACGCACCCGGCCCCGTCATGTCGCCCTTCTCAGGCACCCCTGGCCTCAGCCATGTCCGTCTCCACAGCAGCCCCACCCCGTGGTGCTCGCAGCCAGGCTCCCGGCGCTCGGCCCCTCTTCCTTCCCTCCCCCGTCCTGCGTGCAGATTCCCACGCACGGGATTGCACCGCAGTCCTGCCGCTCCTACACCAGCCCCCCTGCCCCTCCCGTTTCTTTCTTTAGTTTCATGCTTTTTTATCCATGTCTGTATTGCTACTAGTTATCTTCATAAACTATGAAATTAATCTGTTATTATGAGGCTTATAAACAGCTTACCTTGGTATATACTTAGTGTGAAAAATGAGAAGCTTTATCATTGAAGGCAGCCGCCAAGGACCCCACCCTCCCCGCGTGCGCCAGCCTGGTTCTAGGAGATCAGATCCCACCAGGCGAGAGTCGGAACAGTAAGACACCCACCCGCGAGTCAGAGTGCGGTCACCAGAAGGGGCTGGAGTGAGTGAGCCGAGGAAACTCGGGGAGTTGGCTGAAAACCCTCTGGAAACGACACCTCAGCAGGAAAGTCGTTGCGCTTACTCGGTAACCCTTTTAGGCACCAATAACTAGTTAAAACACAAGAAATATTTCCCTTAAAATAGTAATTGGGGGAGACAATAACAAGATAAAAATTTAAAAAGAAATAGGTAGGACCTACGTAAAGAAAACTTGAATAGTCAGCCAAGGAGATTAAATGTAGATCAAAGTAAGTGGGAAGGGTTAAGTTGTTATCAGCTAGCTGGGTTCAAAATGGTAAAGAGGACCGTCAAGGCTGAGTACCTATAAAATCAGCCCAATTCCCGTTCTAGTTCTGACATGACACACGGGGGGGGGAAACTGACATGGAAAATTGAACAGGAAAATTGAGGAGAGAGAATAATGAAGAGGAAAAGCTCCAAAAAAGGGTGGAATGAATCATGAACGTTCAGTAACTGAGCTAGACTAATACTGAAGGTTTTCATGGAGCGAGCAGAAGGTCCCAAAATAAATACAAATAAATATTCACATTTTGTCCATGTGGTAGGTGGCATTTTGAATCAGAGGTATAAGAGATTATTCAGTAAATGGTGTAGAAACATTTGGCTATTTGGGGAAAAATGCCGAGTTCTGGCCCGGTTCCTTAGTTCTCCAAAAGGAACTGCAGATATATCAGAGCTTGGAGCCTACAAAACTAAATAAAACACATTGGAAGGAAAAAAGGACAAATTATTTATAACTGTGAATGAGCAGTGCCTTTCTAAACAGAATATATATTTAGAAGCTTTGATGGGTAATGTTGTTGTGTTTGACTGGAAA